TTCCAATAAGGCTTTGAATAATTAGTTACAGTATAAGTCAATCTAAGGAAATCTAACCTTTATCAAATAATCCAAAAGAACAAGACTTTTATACACATGCCTCCAGTTCTTCCCATGATCATTTAATCTCTTCCAGAGCATCGACATAATCTCAGTAAACGACAATGGATTATGCGTTAGATCTGCGATTTCGGACATCAGAGCCGTAGAGGGACCCCAAGGATCATTGCTGCAAAACATCATTCTCACAGAAACCAATTCTTTCATGTAACACTACGGCTGGTAAAAATAAAGTGCTAAAAGCGACAAAACAATAAACAACGAAATGCTGAATGCAAAAACCTTATATGAATTTTGTTGCGGTTTTGGACAGATTTACCGGTTTGCTTATTTTGAAGGTATTATGTTTTTCCACCTCATATAACACGGAAATTGGCTTGCATGATATCGTTTGAGTTCACAGACCACGATTTCTGCCGCAACACTCACTGCTAATGATTATTTTTCCGAAGCAACAACTTTTTTCATTAAATTTTGTTTCACACAAATGAAAAGGGATCTATGATGGAATACAGAGAGAATGTAGCGCAACTCTTTACACAATAATAGAAGTTTGGATTTAATGAATATTTCTATTTCCTAGGTCAATTCAAAAATCATAAAACTCATAACTTCGTTACCTGGTGGCTTCCCGAACTTTCACTTGTGCATCCGAGAAATTGTAGGCGACATTTTTTACTTGCCGTCTAATAGTTGAAATCGACATCGAAACTAATAAAACAGGGATCAACCTGAAGCATGTTGAACAATTTGTAATCGCAACTGGATACAATGTACGAACAAACCGAAATGAAACGAATAAAAGTAGAAGTGAAACAGCAAATTCATCCACTCTGCATTTTTGCATAACAAAACCAAACCAAGGCAATTCTGTCAAACATCGCTCGCACTATATCAAATGAACACTTTCGAAGTGGTTTGAACATTAATTTCTTTTCTTATTGGTTTTAGTTCTGCTTTACATGAATGGATCTTTAGAATTCGACATGAGTATAAGACTGCTAACACTTCGTATCACAATCTAATCAATAGAGTATGCCTTCAGGAAATACCATTAATACAACTGTATTTGATTATGCAACAATTTCCAACCAGCTGGATATAATACAACTAACTTATATTCACCGAACAATCGGTAGTGCAAGTGAAGTTACTGGAACAGTGGCACTGTTTTAAAGGAATCCTCAAATATTTGCCATGGCCTTCCTAAGCTGATGTGGGTATACGAAAAAAAAAAAAATCAGACAGCGGTGTAGTGAGGTATCCTTGATGATGTGATGTGGGAGTGAGGTTAACAAGGCTTAATAAGCACCATTTCAACAGTCATAGCTAAGTGGTTCATAGCAATAAAAGTAATGAAGACCTACCTAATGGACAAATTCAATGAAATGAACTAGTCGTACCCCACAATATTGATTCTGGCCTAAATCATTCATATCCCAACCTGGCCTCAAAATAAAATACAACAGTAAACAATCATTTCTCGGACGCTAACCATCTAAGTGGACGTTGGATTTTGAAGAAAACTAAGTGAATACAAGATAAACAAATATATTGTTCCAAAAAAACAAATTAGAAATATCCACCTAAACAGTACACTTAAACACCGCATTGCCAATTCTTCATCTTCCTCTCTCTCACATATAGAAACAAACACAAAAAATTGCCTAAGAAAACCTGTGAAATGGGAAAATCATTGAATAAAAGCAATGTTGGACAGTTGCCACTGCAGCGACACGCTCAGTAGATCACCACACCACCTGATCTATCTGTTATCTGTTATCATGTATTCAATGTTTATCCACCACACAACAAACATCACATCCACCTCTCACAGAACTCAGCCTGTCAACAAGACTCCAATCTCTTCCCAATCTCCTCACAATTTAACCACCCCACCTCTATCGGACTTCCTTCTCCACCACGGATACGAAAACTCACATCAGACATCCACGTCAGGCACCAGCTTGCCGCAAAATACCGTTGTGGTTCGTTGAGAGACAAGAATACGAACCAAGTTGAGACGAGGTTGCATTGAAAGGTCGAGTGCCCTGGGGTGGACGGAGTGAGGAATAGCTTCCTTGTTCCGTTGCTTTCTTCTTTCTATAGCCAGACGCTATCAGATAAATTCATCGTGACAAGTACTATATTTTTCTGTCATTATTGTCATAAATTGTGACTTCGTTTCAGCGACTATTCGTACCTGACAGGTGTACACTAAGAGCCAGACAACGTCTAGTTCCTGTTGCTGTATGGACGACGCTCCATTCTATTTCGACCAACGAAGTGTCAGCGATACGTTCTAGTGGTAATCTAACCAGTCAAGCATAAGTTGCCGTGAAAAAGAAATTGCTAATGTCAGAAAACAAGAAAATTATAATATGTTAAAACATAGGATATTTGTTATACAAAGTGTTTCCTAGATAAACAATTCATCACATTACATAAGAAAATATAAAACGTTTTCTCATACCTAGTATGATGAGTCAGTTATCTAATCTTCATATTGTCTAAAAATGTTTGTCTGATGTTGGGAAATACGTACATCCGGTAACTAATTTGTAAAGGCTTTATCCTATGTACCTTAGATACAGTTGTGGGAAACCTATGCATCTGGTGAAATAATTACTGTGCAATTTTCTCTTTATATAAAGAAATCTAATATGTAAATTTCTCTTGCAGCTGTGAAATTACTGTCGGCTTTGTAAAGACCTCATATGGAGCTATTCTCATATTGTAATCCATACCCACTTTTTCTTAATATAAATTAACTAGATTTGATATAAGAACTGTTGACTCGAAACAGATAAGCATCAATTCTGCAAAGAGATCTCCACTACTTCACTTAAACTACCGATCCAGCTATGTTTTTCTCAGTTTCTGTTTTACCCCTCAATAATTCATTTCAATCTATTCCTCGAGGTTGAAGTAACGATTATGCATTTGCGTTAATTTCTACTTAGTTAATAAATACTATCTGTATTCCCGATATCTAGCTACACCAAAAGGATCAACACCCATCTATTGATAATTCAATCTCAACAAAACAGTTCCTCTTAACGTGGAAAACTACTTCTTTCAATAGAGGAAGCAAAAAAGTCAAGTTTTATTTGTTAAGAAAGAAGAAAACCAAATCTTTCGCAACATAAGTATACAGTGGTCTCAAGGAACAGTCCGCAACTTGCTCTTTTTTCTGATGTATCTTCTCATCGATTAATTTCAACACAATCTTTGAAAGCATCCACGTATATATATGTGTATATATGTATATACGTTTTCAAGAACTTTTGTGAGCGATTACATTGAATAATTTTACAGTAAATTTGTATCGATCACTCAGATTATCGCTAAATTGCAATGAGTAAATATAGTATTTGAATGGGAATCGGGGACGAGGTAACTGAGCTGCAAAGTGTGGTGGACATTAAAAATTTTGAAAGCATTTGGCCAGGAAAAAGACGGTGTGGAAATCTTCCAGTTTGAAATGAAGAAAAAATGCAGTTTTATCTGCATATTGTATGCTACGCTGTGCTCATCTATCACTTACAGGAATTTCCAACTCGTTGGGCAGCCAGCGTGTGGAAAGGATTAGACAGTGATTTGCCTTATGTCATAGGTATATTTTTTCACCTTTAAAATCACAATTTGTAAGTTTCTTGCTATCACTAGTCATTAGAGAAAGTAGAATATTTATGAATAAAAAGCTGGGTCATAAGGAGTGCGGGAAATATAATGGAAGGTGAATTTTGGAAGGGATGGAATTGGACAAGATAGTTGCGGAGGAGGAAATAAGGATGTTAGAGGTGAGGAGAGTTAAAAAAACATCTAAGAGTTCTTACCCGTTGCTCCTCTGAAATGAACTGGAACAATAGAATAGTTAAGAAAGATTACTCTGGCTACTTGTTAAGATCGAAATAAGCAGTCTTACTAATTGAGATTAGACTTGAAAAATCCAAATTCAAATGGAACCTGAATAAAAAAAACAAATAATGCTAAAACAAAAAAGGATGTTTATATGTAAAAATAGTTTGAAAGTCTAGATTTTGTTTCTTACCGAAAAAATACATGAATTTTACACATGGGTGAATTTTTTAAAAAAAAAAGTGTATAAACGGTCCAAAAAATCCGCTTCTTTGGACGTCAAACACATCTGTCACTCATTGCTTTATTAATATTATAAGAGATTTTAAAGGCTATTGGCTAATTTTCTTTTTCATTCACCTCTTCCCTCATATGTGAAATTTTAGAAGCTGAAGCTTCTCGATGAATGTCAGATTCAGATTCAGAGCAACATGAAAACATCAGTAACTTGCGATTAATTGAGACTTGAAATAAAAAATTTGCTCTTTTCTTATAATTCAAATAAAAAACTGAAGCCTGATTTAGAATTCACACGAATTTCAGCAATCTTTAGTGCAATACTTTCCGGGAAACCTTTACTGTATTAGTCGATCTTTCGCCAACTTTCAATCTTTGCATTTCGACTTGAAAAATAAATTTTTTCCTTTACTCAGACATGTGTTAATGATTAATTCCGGATGTAGAAACTTCGTAGAAATGCGGTAAGAATGTGGACTGAACAGTAGTATTACAACTGATCAGCTCATCAATTTAAGTGGTGAGTTTCAGTTTCCTTGCAAGTAACTTTGGTGGTACATTTATAATGTATAAAATCCAACTTTTTTCTCACATCCATTGTTTCGGCGGACTGTTCTAGGAAAAGTTGAGCAGTCACGAAAATGAGACAAGGTAAGGAAACTTATGCTGTATATTAAAGTCACAGCGAGAATATTCTTCCATCTAACGCGATGCATATTCCTGAAAGCCTGCCAAACAGTTATACTGTTTTATGGAGCGGATAAATTCAGGTCAGCACACCAAATCATCGATGGGATTGCATAGAGTTGTGTGGTGCGCTCAGATTCCGAACAAATGATTCTCAAATGTGTATCGGTTGAACAGTGCCTGATGTACAGAAATTGATGTGGAGGAAGGATGAACACTGGGAAGGCTGGAACAGTGGCCCCTTGACAAGATTCGATACTGAAGAAGAAAGGAGAACTCTCATCCCTTTCTCCATTCTATTCAAAACTACTTTTGTTTGTCTTTCATTGTATTTATCTGACCAGTGACCTAGAAACGTTGAAGAAAACCGGCTTCTGAACATGCCTATAGCGACCTGTCGACCTCTGCATCCTTTTTTTTAATTCAGAACCTCAGCCCATTCCTATTATGGCATGTACTTATTTGTAATTCAAGAATTTCTTCCCCAACCTCCGAAATGGCGACTGTAGCTCTATCAACGCCAATATTGATAACATTGTTGCCAGCAAACTAGTAATATTTTAGCAATGTAGTAAACAGTGCCATAGTATAAGGTAAATGAATGTTATCGGATTTGGCACATTTTTTAGTGGAAGATTCCATTCCTATAATTATTTTATTTGATAAATTAATATATACTGAGTTTCATAAATGCATTAACTTGTGTGTCTTACATTGTTAGGCACCGTATGTGTATAAAAATTATGATATGAAAAAGACAGAAAGATAAAGAAGAAATAGAAATCCGAGGAATCCGCAGACACCTCACCGAGCAATCTGATCCAGTGCACAGACAAAGACACAAAATGATCAGTTGAAACGGTCATTGTGTTGCTGGTTTGTACGCTCCCATTTTTTGTGTGCACATTTTCAGCTGACGTTTCACAGCGATTCGTTAGTGCAGTTTCAGTTTCAAATTAACTTTTATTTTCATTTGCACTTCTTTTGATATCCCATATACCAAGTCTTCAACTTTTCTGTCTAACTAGTTTGGTGAGGAATTTTATGTCGTAGTGACAGTTATACTTCCAGTTCTGGAAGTTGGAAACTTTGCAGTATTTTTTCGATGCAGCACATATCATAACGTTCCTTAAAATAAATGCAAGTTTTGCGGATTTTCGAAATCCTCTCAAATTTCTGAGTAAAATAAAAATTTCAGAACTTTATGAAGTTATAATAAAGCTGGTTTTAAAAAATTCAGTTTTCGTGACGTGTAACTTTGAGCCGGACAATGAACTGGGCTTTTCTCTCTTCTTCGAAACCAGTGTTTGAATTTCAAGATTTCAGTTGTTATGTAAGGTTTAATAAGCATATAAATTTATGAACGTAGTTCCGTTCTAGTGATTTTAATGGTTCAATCCCAAAAAGTAACGTTTGGTAAATAGTATTATGCTGTTTTCAGAATGTACTTAGAGTGGGTCTATTGTGGAATTTCTGTTGAAATTCAGTACGAGACATGTTCGTTACTGAGATACAAACTTAAAAATCAGATTTCAACTTGGGACCTCTCTGAGTTATGCGATACATCGGTATATGTTGGTTTTGAACAAATATCAGCAATTGAAAAACGTGCTTTCCTTAATTATTCGCATTTCTAAAACTTTTGGTATCATAGGGGTAGGCTTAGACACAAATACATTTCATTGCTTCTACAGCTGCACATGGGAACTTATTCAAACATACTTAGTTAATAAGTTTATTATTTGAGGGTACCATTTCAAAGTCCAGTTCGTACTTAGTTGCGACGTAGTAACTAACTGAACTTTTCATGGCTATCAATGCATTAAATTGCCATCTTGAGTACTCAAAACTTCCTGCACATTTATTCTTTATCAAATATGTTTTCCTCTTTCATTGATAATCCTCTGGCATATTAAATTATTTTGTTAAAGACTAGTATTTCTACTTTTTAGAATCTCACATTTCGAATTTTACAACTGTTCAATGAGTATTAAGTCGGGGTTTTTTTCCTTTATTTCTTAACAGTTTTCAAATGCGAGCTCATCTTAAAGAATAATTTCAATCTTATAGATTATGTCTCTGTTAATCCTATTATTTATTGATATTTATTTGGCAAAGTTTTCATGACCTCAAGAAACAGGAGGAAGATATGCCAGTTGTGATTTTGGTTAATATCAATCATACGTCATTATGACCTCGTATACTGATGTCTTATTTCATTTGCAAACAATTTCCTAAAAAATGCAAAAAAAAATCAGGGGAAATATTTAGGTTTTGTGGAAAGCTTATTAGTAAAGCTTGTTCAAAGGAATAAATGGAGATTGCTACCAGAAGTTAATAGTTCCAACGATTTAAAATGCAAAAGAGTCTACTAAAAATTGAAGTATCTTAGCGCAACAAATGCAGCTGATGGAAAATATGCAGATCACCAATTACTCGTTTTGGTTGCTTTATTAAAAGCATCAAGCAGCTGATTGGGGTACTCTAAATTTGAGAGTCTCATTATTTTCGTTTAATAGTAACCTGTTGTTACTCTTACCTACTTACACAGTAAATACACTATTTCTGTTGTGTCTGTGACATTCATCTGATTACTTGTTATTGGCTGAACTACAATCAGTTTCATCACACTCCTAAAACAGTTTTGTACGACTTCATTTGTTTTTCAATGGTTTTCATTATTTTTTAAATTCGCCTACTGCCACTGCCTCTGGATTTCCTACAGGTGATCTTGCTGTGTTTATTAGAATTGCAAATTCAAGCAATTCGAAGTGAAATTTTTGTAAATCTTCAAAATTTTTAAATAATGAAGTTGAAGATAACGTTTAGGGCTTCAAGAAAAAATGAGCTCATTGAAAGCACTGCTTAGCTCGAAATCATTTGACTCTGTGACAACTTCCAACCTTGAAATGACAAGCAACAATGGTCGGAAGCGCGGTGCGGCTCTGGAAGAATGGTTGCTGCGGAAGTTTCCTGAATTGTACAGGAAATCACATGATTTGGAGAGCACTACCGTCCCAGCAAATGATGTCGAAAATCAACCGCTTAGTATGCTTTCTGTCTTTTAAGTATGTGAAGGTCTTCCACGCCTCATATCCACTTCCCTTTCAAAACAATGTTGATCTGACCTGTGAGCATATTCTGTTTAGGATGATTACACCATTTCATTGATTTAGCATTCACATGAATTTAAACTTGATTTTCGGCTTTTTTTTTTTAATTGAAATTTTGGTGAAGCGCAATAAAAATCTGATACTTTAATTGCAAAAGTTTTGAAGGATCTGAATCGACATGATTATTTCCTAGTGATTCTTACCGTTGATTATCTTAATGACCAAATTTGTTTTGAAAAATGTATTGCTCGTATGTAGGTTCATTTCATTTCACTATTGTTTGGTTATTCCGTTGGGGCGTTTTCTCTTTTCTTTTCACTTGATCACCCCATTAAAGAATCACTCATTTCGTTATTCCTTCGATACTGTCATCTTTCCCTCCTATTCTTTTCAAGGGTTTTCCTGAAATACGAACAGTTGTTTAATGTTTCCTCGAAAAATCAAAAATGAGAAATCAGAGAAAATAAGTCGAAAGTGCATTTATTTTAAGTGCAGGGGCATTTAATTAGAGAACGGAGTAAAACATAGTCCGTTCTCTAATTATACAATCGGTGCATTTCAAATTTGCCAATTTTGTTGTTCAGATTTGGTAAAACGATGCAGGCGAGATGTGGAAGTGAAAAATGAAGCACCAATAGTGTATACCGGTTGTACGGGTCATCTTTATCCCAAAAGTTTGTTATTTATGACTTATCATTAAGTTTCACTAAACGTTTAAAGCGTCAAAAATACCAAAAACAACTTCAAATACAAATATTTATAGCATTGCGAACAAACAGTTATAATCGCGTGTCCGTGCAGCGCTCAAATTCGAAACACGACATTATCTCAAGTGAATATTATGTATTACCGAAAGGAGATCCATTTACCCTGAAAAATGAACACTTGTCAAGACGAGTGGATAACGGTAAGCTCAATCAATGCGCCCAGCTCGTTATATTTTCATTCTTGGTTAAGTGTTGTCTATCGTCAATTTTTGACAAAGAAATTAAACAGATAGAAATGCTTCCTATGCAACGTATGCTGCCATGCCAACTCCGCCTAATCGAACCATTTCATTTTTACGTTCGCAATTTGTGTAGCGGAAATTCGATTAGTTGTAACGAAAAATCACCAGCTACTGCTAATATTTTTTTCAGGATGTCATAGAGAATTAAAATCACACATGAGCGGTGTTGAAACTGATAAACCTATCAATTTGTCTTTATCTAAAAGACGGAAAACAATCTGTGAGCATGTTATACAATAAGATATTTTATGCTTTTTTGGTTTTGCAACGAAATGACATTTTGTAAGTGCTGTGGAGGTGAAGGAAAAAGAAGGCGAAATTGGAAATTTCCATGTTCATCTTTAATAAAACATATCTATATGCAATTCTTGTCATTACAGTTACGTTATACAATATTTGGTGATAGTGAATGTATAAACAAACAGAAAAACGATTTAACTTCTTTGAACCGTTCATTTCAGATTTAGAGTGGAATGATGGTGAAAATAAAACACAGCCAGTATCCAATAATGAAGGAAAGCATGTAAACAAAGATGACACCAGAAACAGCAATTCTACGACAAGGGATGGGCGGTATAGAAACGTGAACAGACTGCAAAATAATAATAAGCGAATTGATGGAAGTATCTATTCATTTGCTGCAAATAAGCAAATTGCAAAACGTTTAACTACTCCTAAATTAACGAAGCACAACGATGCAGCTTATTATCCGAATATTCAGTGTCTCCTTTGCAGAGAGTGGGTGTGTTCTAGAAACAGGTGATTTTCCTCTCGCTTCTATTACTTCATATCTTGATTTTAAACGACAAAATTCTCCTCTGTTTATAACTTTATTGATATATAAGTGCTTATTCCAATTTCTTTATTTTCCATGAATACGCGCATCCTCAATTATCTGACCTTCCAGTGTGACCTTAACACATTAACAAATCATGACAGAATGATTTTGAGTGGAATCACTTTCACCAAAGAAATTTGGAATAAAAAGGATTTGAAAAAGGGTGGAAAGGAACGGAGGACAGATGAGCATTCGGCTTTTCAAAAGGCCTGTTTTAGATGAATCATCTAAAAAAGTATTGAATGGGCCTATGTAATACTATTACAACGAATAGAATACAGAATTATTCTGCAGCGGCATTGTTTACAATAAATCTGCAGTAAATTTCCAAGGAATATGATCCTTTTATGATATAAAATAAATGTAATACTCCAGATTCACATAGTGTTTTCGTCTTTTCGCCAGGATGATCAAAAATATTCATCTCAAGAATGATTCTGAAATCTTTCGCAAGTTGGGAATAATTCCGAAATGGACCTAAAATTAAGTTTCATAAAACTTTTTAGATGAATGCATTTCAGGTACATGCACGTCGAGTCACATTTGCAGTATCGCCCATACAAATGCAGTTTTTGCGGATACGATAATCGAAAAGAAATATTTATTATATTACATATCAAGAAAGTGCATGGTGGTAGGGCTGAAGTTATCCGGGATATTAATACCGAACTGGAGCATGAGTGGGTTTTTGTATGATAGTGTTGAACTTAGAAAAATTTGAAATTGATGCAGCCAATACTACAGTGTGAGTTATACTCACATATTAACTGAGTATAACTCACATATTAACTGTGGGAATAAAGGCATATGTATGATTAACTTTTAGCCAAAAGTTGAAATTCGGTTGCAGGGCATGGAACATTGCAGAGCGATGTGTTGAGCATACACGAGACGTATTGCAGCGTGCGCATCAGGAAGCTATCCAACATGATAAAGCATCCACATCTACGGAACCCGGCAATTCTACCAAAGTCGAAGAGGCATTGCTTAGCAAATATTCCACGCAGGTTAAATCATTTCCTACCACTTCCTTTTGGTATTACCTGGAAAAAAACATGACGATTAAGGCTTTCCTTTAGGAAGTCCTCGGAGTAGAAATAGCTTCCTTTTGTTTTTTCCCAATTTTTTTTTTCTCAAAAAAGGATATACAGTTGCAGTATCGTCCAAGGTTGTACAACACACAGCGAGCAGAAAAAAGTTTAGTTATCGAGGATTCGTTGAAAATGGGGATTCTTCCTGATTTTAGTGAGGTTTCAAATCGCGAAGTAAAATGTCAGGTGAGGCTTTGTCGTAATGTTAAACTTAAGACATTCTCGATTAATAAGGAAGAAGCGAGCGAGCGAGTTTGACGCTTAACTAATATTTCCATATGATAACAGTTCATCGGTTCGCAACTAAGTAGTGGTGAATGCAACCTATCGATTAAAAAAACGGGCGCATTTAGTGGAAGGATGACATATAAGTTATTAATTTGTTAACATTACGATCCAGCGGGTCTAATTTACACATACCTATTCTTTAGCGGCAACTTTTTAATTGAGCATCTTGTCGTTGTTATGGTTTCTCATGCTTCTTCCGATCTCATTTTGCAAGTGTAACTTCGATTGCCTTAAGTCTTTGTTCTTTCTAAGCAGGGCAATTTACTTTACCAATTGAATTGCTTCTCCTGCAGTGATGGTTCCTGTTATCACTTTATTTGTAAACCCATCCTTGTTCTTTCTCATTACATTTTCAAGTTTATATCGAGTCACTTATGTTTTTGGTTCTTGGACATAAATGTTATTTAAAGTCTAAATTGTCTTGCTTTATTCTTTTTAGTGATCAGAGCATTTCCATGAGTGGTTAACCTCGTATCCTTTCCCCCTTTTTTTCCGGAATGCTCGAGATGTATTCACGACCCGTTGGTAAAATTCTTGCCCTGCAGCATTCATTCTAAATAACAATAATTTAGATTAAAAAGCATAATCTTTCGTATAAAGAATAACTCATCCAATCGAATGAGTTATTCTGTTGATTGGATGAAAAACATCATTACTCCAATTTTTGATGTTCGGAAAACATCAGCAGTGTACACCAGTTGAAATATACACCAATAATTAGGCCAGATCAAACAAATGAATAATCACAATTATTAGCCAAGAACGATATTATAAATGGTAGTTGTACTATGATTGAATTAATTTAAAACTAGTTTATTTTCTTCTAATATTATTCTTCCTCATTACAACAACTTACCGTTAAATAAATTTAAAAAAATAATAAAAAAACAATACTCGCATTTTAAAGCTTTGAATTTCTCGTTATTCTGTTGATCCTAATAATTTTCAGCCAATATTTCATATATTTATAATAAATGCAATTTTTGTTTCCTACTTTCTATTTGCAAAGTTCTTAAACATAATATAGTATTTAATCCTGCGGATTTGCATCCATCAGTTATAACTTCTTGCAGAGAACATTTTATATGCGATAACGTTGATAAAACTATAAAATAATGTTTAGTATTTTTCAAAAATAATGCTGTGGATTAATGTTTTGCCACCATCGAAAAGCAGCAGTTAGCTTGGCTCTTGAGTCTGTTTAGCTCTTGATCTTGTCACTTTATTCTCACATGAGCCAAAATACAGGTTATCCATTGTTATTGTCTCATTCATGATTAAAATTTCCAAACTTCATCCTCGTTTTCTACTAGTATAATAAGATGCAGCCTGTTCACTCCAAATTTTTTATGCCTTACCTTTATATAGCAGAGGAAGAATCCAAATGACCATGTTTTGTTAGATTTATTATATAACATAGTTATGGTAACGAATGTTTCCTCTGTTATTCGTCTCCTTCCAGTTCCAGTAATTCATGTCATATCTTCCTTGCAGTGCATCTTGTTCCAAATAAAATTATAGATGAATGATGAATCCAGCGAGGACCGATAGAATAAACATTCGGGAGTATGATCGTTTATTTCGGTCTTTTGCAAAACGGCCACTTGCAAGTTATATCGGACGATATTTATCATTTGTTAAGAGATTCTTGAGGAGAGAGCATTGTCTTGGTCATAAGAAGTTCTGTATTTCTTTCTCGGAGAAAGTTTCCATGGTTCCTTTTGAGGTAAAATGCTGAGAAGTTAAGGTTACCATATGCATCTAGATTCAATGTCAGTCCTGCTAGCATTATTACTCAAACCGGGAAATTTTAACCAGCTTCAACTCACATTCTTTCAGTCTGAGTGAGTATTAATCTAAATGCAGCTTTGCTTGACTTGTGAGTGCAAACCTTCCCTATCTTGGGAACTGACCCAGTAATCCAAAGTACCAAAGATTTAATTGGAGGAAAGTAGTGATGCAAAAACTATTACTCTTCTAATCTTGAATCCTGCAGTTTTATTTTGCAGGTTTGTAATGGTTTTGTGATTTCACATGTAACGGTTATGGAGGAACATGTACGATCACACCTCACACAACCATCTTACCGGTTAAATTGATTCATTCAAACTCATATTATATTATGACAAACAGACTTCAGTTTTAATTCGAACTCAGCTCTATAAAATGCAAAGTAGGCAAATATAGATGAATGCTTAGCTGAACCAAGAGTAAAAATGTCTTAATCGAAAAAAACGAAACTATGCTTTTTTTATTTATATTTTTGTAGTTGTTCTGTTGGCGATTGCACACTGCAGCATCATTCAAAAAATTTCTTAATACGACATATGAAGGAAGTGCACAAGTATAAGCAGACTCCGACGGATATCATAGAATTGGATCCATCTCTGAAAAAGGAATTTTGCAGAGTTCGTTTAATACCGTTTTATATTTATGAGCTATGGGAAGCTCGGCAAGGATATATTAAACGAAGGTTGAAAACTAACGTCATAAGTTTTTATAACCCATTGCACGCTATATTATCGAGCAACCGTCACGCAGTTCAATAATCCTAGTTAACGGCAAAGAACTGTTAGTGTGGACGGTTCGAGTTATAGAAGGATTTTTTTTGTTTTATTTAAAACAAGCAAATAGTCAAATATATTTGGGAAATCTGATTCAGTTCTGTGACTAAATTCTATTCATAATGACAAATACGCCAGATAAGATTGTCTTGTTCCATTTTACACATGTACACATACTCACTACTTCCCGAAAAGTTGACAAAACCATGAACCAGCATTGCATTAAGTACACAAGTACACAGTTTGTCAAACAGTGTTTTATGATCACATATTCCGAAATGAATTTTCTGATACTGATTGGCTTATTGCAGATCGCATCTCGATGTTTTCCGAGTCATTTTTTGGATCATCTTTCTTCATTTCATATTTTTCGGCGATCACCAGTATCACGGTCTCCATTACTGAAATCATTAACAGGAACAAATTGGTGCATTTCATCTACCTGTTCCGACTCTTCAACTATGCAAAATGCTGCCCTATCGATGTCAACTTTAACATCCACGTTTAAAACGTTCAGTTCTCCAAGTCTCAAACCAATGTCATCACTACTCACGGCTATACTTCCCTTAAATTTGACGCTACAAACTCCAGCACCATCGAATGATGTTGCGCTACTACTTCCGACAACGCCTATTCCTTCTTCGAGAGATACGCCTCATTTTAAAGATCCGATGAACATGTCTAGTCTTCCAGTAACCAGTCCTGAATGTAAACCATTCGTTTTCCATGCAACTGAACATAATTCGTCAAAATGCATCACACTAACCAGCCTTCTAGCAGCTGCACCCAAAAATAATCTTCCACAGGTTTGCTTTTCCATAAGTCATTCCAAATATTAACAAATGCTTGAAGTGAATCTCATCAGTTTTGTGCTGTAAAGCTGGTTGAAATTATTTCATCATTAAATTTAAAATCTTTTCACCGTTTATCATTCTCAGGCACGCGTACAGCCGATAATACATTCAACGATACCACAGAAAACATGCAGCTTTTGTCAAGAGATATTCGAAGGCGAGTATCTAGTCTTGTATAAACATGTCAAGCAACATTTAACCATACTGCCTTATGAATGTTCAGCATGCAAATTCGCCGATGTGGACAGGAAAACAGTCCAAGAGCATATTTCCCATGACCATTTGAAAGCTACTGTTATTGACAGGTAACTTTCTTCACAAAAATAACCATTCCTGATTGTTTAGCTTGAAATAATTTTCCCTTATGCTTGGTTTGAGAATTTTATTGAGAAATGCTGTTGAACCATTATCTGGAAGCAGGTTGACTGACTAAATAATCCTGGTACTCTATTGAACTATATGTGTTTACAAAAATATTACGGGTGCTTACATAAAATGTTTGCATAGGATTTAAATCACCAACGTCACTAAAAAAAGCAAACACTTTTACAATTATTTCAGGATGACAGATTCAGTATCCCGACAGTGCTTTGCATTGTTTACAGCCTGCTTTCCGGATGTACCGCTACAGCCTTCATTGCATGACAGTGTGCAAAAATGAAATCTGGAAACTAATTGTTCTGTTTCCTGAATTAAATTTCAAAGAAAAGCGTAAATTATGATACATATCGTTGTATGTTACAAACTGCTGCAAAAATACAAAAATGTGTTAGTTCCTCAAATGCTTTGTTGACTGTGATTTCATTGTTTTTTTTTCTTTTTTTTCAATTCTGACTAATATACAAATTTCGTTATTTTTAATAGCCGTGTTGTTATGGAAGTGATATTTTTGTGCTGAATTCTTGTAATTACAAGAATTATTACAATATAAGTAAGAAGGACGATAAATATGAGGATAAAATTGGAGAAATTGATCATTGTTTTAATTCCCTCATTTTAATAATTCATTTAGTAATTTCCCAACAAAAGAAAGGTGGGAATGATTCGAAAAAGTAGGTGATTCGTAGGAGGGAAAGAAGGAAAAAGGAAGGAATAAGTCAGATTTTAGGTAAAAGGCATAGCAAAAAAAATGACATCTCAGTGTGTATAAAAAATAATCCGCGAGTCATCGGTCGGCCGATCAAATTTGGCTGTAAATGTTTCGGATTGTTTAATTATGACTCGCAAGCAAATACCTCATCTCCATGCTGTTATTAAAATCACGGTATCTTTCTGTGCATGCTCAGTGTGGGAAATGTATGGGGATGAATGGATATGTTGTCTAAAATTTTTAATTTTTTTTTGTGAAAACTAGACCATCATTCTTCCTATCCGTTCAACTTAATGGCCGAAACAGCTTTCATATCTTTTCTCGTATCTACGAAGTGGATGTTATCCAGATAACTAAATGACTTCCTGATCGATCGATGCTTTGGTTGTAAACTGTTCATCAGTGTGTTGCATCTTTCCTCCGCTCATTTTTTAATTGCTTAGCAATTTCTCTATTCGAAAAGGTTTAGCAAAATTTTTAAAGAACATTTGCTACACCAACATTCGTCAACAACTACCTCATTATCTGTCTATTTTGTTTATTACTTAACTTTCTTCCAATCTTCAACTTATCCCCTTCTTTACCGAAATATTTGCTGTTTCTTCGAAATGAAATCCAACATAAAACCTTTTCATTTCCAATTAGTACTCGGTCAGTATGATTAAGCACTGAATCAGCTAATCTTTAATCATCCTTTTTATTTAATACGCAGTATGTATGATATGCTATGTCATATGTATTTGTTTAACAATTTTACTATAGCATCCACTCAATCGAAATTCTCCGAATTCTGCAATTATATTTTGGGATTTTTACCATCATAAAATTCTTACAAACCATTGAGTTTATCTGTGCAAATGATGTATTGATATGATAATAATCTACGTGCAATGTACTACTAGCCGAGAGCCAACAAACTTTTACTAGAACTAATCAATATTTCTATCTTTTCTTGCTCTAGCTACGGCTTTTGTTCCATTAGTTTTGTGAAAATTCATTATCACGAATAATTGATGACTATTTCCAAACGTTGTAACTATATATACAAATCAGTGCTTTAATCAAAGCATGGAAACAGTGGAAGAATGAATGGACGGATGATGTTCCTGGGGATCTCGTGCTGGGCAGTTTCAGTAGTATGGCTTTTGCCTAATGGTGGACAATGCGGTCAACATGCAGGTCGCTTAATCGAGGACCTTCTCGCAGACTACAACAAGCTTGTTAGGCCGGTGGAAAATGACACTGACACTCTGATTGTTCGACTGAAATTGAAACTTTCACAGCTTCTTGACGTAGTGTGTCTTGCCGTATTTGTTTTTCGGTACTGCTAGTAGAATAGGCTCAAATTCTTTATGATAGGATTAATCAACAAGGACACCTTGTTCCATGAAGTGCAGCATTGGAAATGATAACAGTTTATTCATTCGAAAAAGCTTCAAAATAAGTAAAGGCGCGGTAGAATAAAACAAGGATAAAAAAGAATGAGTTAAAACAAACATTGGAATCGTGAATTTGAACTAAGCTATTCACTTAACAGCAACTTATCTGCTTCTTTTTTCTTCCTGTTTTTATTATTTACTTTTTAGCCAGTTACCTGCAAAACTTACTTGAACTATTTTAGCATGAGAAGAATCAAATAATGACGACAAATGTATGGCTGCAGCATGTAACTTCTTTTTCACACTTTCCAGTTCTTTAAAAAATCACTCACTGTTAATAATGTCATGTTAGCCATCTTACCATAAGTGATGGAGATTTTTATGATATTCACTGTAAAAACTTTTTTCGAGCTGGACTGATCACAAATTAAAGTGGAATCCGGCAGATTACGGCGGAGTCACTGTATTGTACGTGCCCGCCGACATGATTTGGCTACCGGACATTGTTCTCTACAACAAGTATGTTTCTCAACCGTTTCTTTTTTCCAGATAAAATCAAATTTCCTAAATGATAAAAATGCATCGCATGAATAGATAAATAAAATATTAATATGCTTCTACTGCATTTACTTATGTTTTTAAACTAATTCCCCTAAAGTTGGTAAAAAAAAATGTGATAGTATAAATCTTATCAATCACTACCCCACTTTTTCAAGGCAGCCACGTGTTTGATAATGTTTCCGTGAATCGGTTTTAGCGCAGATGGTAATTATCAAGTGTCAATAATGACAAAAGCAAAATTGTCGCCCAATGGTACTGTCGAATGGTCACCTCCTGCTATTTACAAAAGGTCTTCATATTCAAAATCCATCACATGAAATTTTACTCAACAATAAAATATTGGAAATTAATGGGATTCATTGGATAAAACATATAAAATACTTCTTCTCTAAGAATTCGCAGGAAAAATTTCGGACAAAAGTAATGGAGTAAGTACTGGTCACCTCAAGGAGACAATTTCAAAGTTTATTTCAAAAAGCTTAGCTTTTTGTTCCAGCATGTGCCAAATAGATGTGGAATGGTTTCCTTTCGATATACAAACGTGTGAAATGAAATTTGGTGAGATGAAATTTTGTTATTTTGTCATTTTAAATTTGTAAAAAATTACCAATTTTATTTTTGAAAACTTTCTCATCATTTCAAAAATCAATCAATACTATGAAAAAATCAGTCCAATAAATCAGCGACTGATTCTGAAATTTATATGGAAGTGTATGGAATATAGCAATCTGGAATGTAATTATTGAGGTCTACAGGTCCGAAATTCATGGAGTCTTATTGTTTGTCAATGGATATAATTCCGTTCTCAGAATATGACAGAAGTGGCATGAACTATGAAAGTGAATTGAATACATTTAAAAAAACGTTTCTTTTCTCGATTGGTTTATAGGTTCCTGGACTTATGGTGGTCTAGAAGTTGATTTACAACATAGAGATTCACATAGTGAAAGGGAAGAAACAGAAACAATGCTTGGTTTTGATGGTCAATATGACGAAATTGTATGGATTGTTGATGAAGGTCGTACATTTTACTTATGAATACAAGTACAGAATTGTCGAAATAGAAAGACCAATTAAATAATGTTGTCAGAAAAAAAATTATTATAGAAGAACTTGAAGGAAAGCTAAAATATTTATCTTATGCCTGCTGATACTTCCATTTCTGAAATCAAATTTAAATTTCAGGAATTGATCTAAGTGATTACTATCCAAGTGTTGAATGGGATATACTTGGCGTACCGGGTAAACGTCATTTAAAAAGGTAATGGCAATGGTATGCTACTTTTGATGATGTAATTGCAATATTTGCACACTTTTGGTGAAAGAAATAAGTCATTTTTCTAGACTACATACTTTACAGTTATCTCTCTTGAAAGCTGTTGAATCTGTAAACAGTTATGTATGCATCAAGTTCAGATATCCATGCTGTGAATCTCCTTTCATCGATCTGACATACGAGATACGTTTGCGGCGCAAGACGCTATTTTATATCGTCTACCTGATCTTCCCAATCGTCAGCATCAAGTAATACATCATTATAAGACATAGCGAAGATTCATCGATAGAAAACTTATAATGTTGTTGAAGTACTGCTTAAAATTGCTTATTTGTATTTATTAGCTCATAGTTGTAGTTTTTCAGTTTTTTAACGGTGCTAGTGTTCTACTTGCCTTCGGATGGTGGTGAGAAAATATCGCTTTGCCTCAATATACTTATTTCACTCACTATATTTTTCCTGTTGCTCGGTAAGCTTTCAATATAAATTCAAAGCTGAATTTAACGAAATGGATTGTTGCTTAGGAATTAACGGAAATACTTGTTGCAGTGGAAATAATACCCTCAACTTCACTCGTAATACCTCTTATTGGTAAATATCTATTATTTACAATGGTACTAGTTACTTTATCTGTTATCGTTACAGTTATAACACTGGTATGTCCAATTTCACAACAAATGCAGTAATTTGAAATAAAATAGAACTTATATCAGTTTTGTCAACTTCATGAAGAATGATATGAAATATTAAAAGATTTCATTTTATATCTCTGTTCGTTGCAGTTCATGTTAATGGTGCTTAAAGCATTCAGGAAAAAAAAGCAATTATTTAAAAACTGGAGTTTTATTTTTAAGTCACTGACGTATGAAGTCGAAAGGAACTTTTCTAATGTGAGATAACTAATGCTATATTCTCCCTCAAATACTGCGTTGTTATCAAAATCCCTTTATATATTTATTTAATTTAAATATTGATCTTACAGAATGTACACTTCCGATCCCCTTCAACTCATACGATGCCAGAATGGACTAAAAAAATTTTTATTGAATTTTTACCCAAATATCTTTTGATGAGACGACCATCACCAATAAAAATCATCAAAAACAGTTCTACTAGCACCGTTTGTTTCCCCTTTATTTCATGTATTATAATATAATATAGAATAGTGCAGTATATCGCTGTGTTTCGCTGCTTGAATGCTTTCTCAGTACATTAAACTAAAAAAGTGGAAGGCAAGACTGACAAATGATTGACATATGTAACACTGCTGTACCTTAATGTTGATATTTCAAACAGCATAGCTGGTAATAAGTGCCAGTAAACTTAACTACAATCACATAATGGATTCAACTTTTCAGTTCATTACTCCCAAACGGCCTGATAGAAGGTTATCAAATTTCAGTCGACCACGTGATCACACAGTTTCTGCTTTATTTGAACAGGTATCGTTAGTTATATTGACTAAATCAAAAAAAAATTTTTCTATACCATTGTTAATATTATTACTATTTTAACAAACAGATTGTGATTCTACCTACTCCAGCAATAAATGTTATTACTGGAATTCTATGCATATAAAAATTTATCCGGAAACTGTGCCGGAAAGTTATTGTAGATGGATTTCTTATCTCCGACTTATCGATCATCATTTTGTACAATGAGAAGTCATGACGGTAGTAGTTTTGCCAGCCTCCAAAAAGAACTGACACCGGTGATGAGTGCCGTTGATAGTGTAACATTTATTGCCAGTCAAATGAAGGATGATAAAAGTGGCCAACAGGTTCATCCATTTGTTTTTATTTTCAATGTTACAGATAAAACGCTCTGTTATTCTATCAGTTGTTCAAAAGAATCGTGAGTAAGCTAAATAATTTTTTGTTGAAATGAAGCTAGTATATTTACTCTTCCTGAAGTCCACGACTAATCTAACTTATGAGACCGGTGCTTTTTAATTGTCCCAATCATTATGAGGTTATTTACATAAATTGAAAAAAGAACTACCGAAATTTAGATAATCGAGGACTGGAAATACATATCCGTCGTGATGGATCGATTATTCCTCATACTGTTTACAACAGCTTGTATGATCGGCAGCATTGTCATCATACTGCGAGCACCAACCATTTATGACACAACTATTGCATTGGCGTGATGAAATAGTTGTCTAGCACTTTTTATATTTCAAAAATTTAAGAAAAAGTGTTTATTCCTACACTTTACACCCTCTGCATGCAATTTCCTACTACTTTTAGGAAAACGCATCTTGACTTTGCTAAATACACTTTAGGATATCCTCCGGATTGTGGAATTCCCCGATTTCAGAAGTTTCAATCAGAGCAGTAATTAGATTATGAATCTACCGTAATTAGATCATGGATAATAGTTCAAGAATGCTATTAGATTTCTTAGAGCAATACGAACCAAGTTAATGTGAAACCTGTTTTGATATCGACTGATATTCGTTGCAAACATTTGTTTGATAAAATTATTTCATTTCCAGATTTTTTCTGCTTATAAGTATATATCGATAAAATGGCTTATTATCAATAACTGCGAGTACACGATTCATTTGTTCTTTCAACGTATATAATAAGAGTTACTAATTTGCAGATTCATTCAGTGATTAATACATCTATCAAATTTTCAAGCCAAGATTTTTGAACCTTATTCTCAAGTCCGTAAGACAAGACTTGAGTTAAGAGGAATACGGTATTTTTGTAAATTTTCTTTCTGTTAATATTGTAATAACCAATTTCAAAATAGCTTCCATATGGAAAAACTAAGAGCAGGAATTCATGGAAACCATTACAAAGAAAATTTCATGAGATAAGTTGTTAGTGACTTTTTTTCGGAGATACCTGAATAGAGCAAGTTGACTGATAGTTAAATGAAGAGACAAGCAATCACGAAGGTAGATCAACCAAATACTGTTTTCTGTGTCGGGCAAAACAGTATGAAATGATGACATACAATTGAAGGAAGTAGACGAGAGCAACAAAAAGACTCTTCATTTCCAAATTAGTCCTCAGGAGCCAGGAACCAAGTACCACGTTTCAATGCTGCAGCCCACATTTCCCTTTGTAATCCTCTCATTAATAAGAGTTTCGGTGGTTTCGATTCCTTGAATGGTTCCCATCTTAAACAAATTATGAATCGCACTACTTTGAAAATTTGAATGTCAGTCAGTCATTTATTTCATAGAGGTATTCCACCTCAAAATTTCTTCAAATAATAGAAATAAAATTGATGTATTAAATTTATGGTCTTCTCTCACACAGTTGTAATTATTATGCGACTTTAATTTTCTGCAAATTATTGGTGATCGAAGCAAATGGTAACATACACGAAAGCATATTCATGGTTAAATCGGTCTTCAATTGCATACCACAGGAATTCTCGGTTACCTCCTTTCCAACCTGGAGCGAAAAAGCAACCAAATGCTATCATGACATAACGTGACCGACAATTAATTATAATGTAAAATTTTAAGACCAATTATGATCCGTGAAAAAACTCCCAATATGATCAGGATTTAGCTGCGGAATCTCTAGAAAATCACTTTCTGACACGCTATGGTATTGTTTAAGGTCTTGCTTCCATCTCCACTTTTTCATTTACATTTTAAGGACAAAACTGAAGACATGCAATCGAAACCAAGAACCATTCTGCAAGATGGTCGGTTAACACATACAATCGAACTACCAGCATTCTGAATTTTTTTATAATGCTGAACGGCCGCGTCACAGATGCGAGTATGACAAACGCGGTTTAATGGATTACCCCAAATTCTGATGGATCTCGGCGAACATCAGAACAGGAAAACATTCATTATTGATTACAAACGATAACCGTACTTCTGTCAGTTACAACTTCCACTTTTTTAAGCCCATAGATTGCATAAAGCGTAACCACACACAGAAAACCGAACATTTGAATATGCAGCGGAAAGGTCTCATTGCCATGCCAAGTATAGTGATGTCCATAATATCTGTAGCTGATTTTACTTTGTCCATAAAACTCGTGCATTTGATTATAATGAATTCGTTCTGCTGAAGCGAGCCTTACTCATTTATTTTTAAAAAATAAATTTGATGTAAATGCATACCTCCACAAACCATCAACACCATTAGATTTGAAGAAATCGGTCTTTCGAACAAAATCTTTCCATTTGGCTCGCCATTTTCTTTGAATGTTCGTTGAAGTGGTTAATTGTCGTTTGGCTGTTATTTGTTCCAAAAATAAGGCAATGTCAAGCGAGCCAACCGCATTATAACATTTATCACTATTTTAATGGAAGCCATTGTGTGTTCCAGTCATTTTTATTTGATTCGGATAACAACTTTTGAAATGTCCTTGTTGTTAATTTACGATGCAAATTTACAATTAAGAATGAATTGAATTGTGATAAATCTCAATATTATAACACTATTGCGAAATATAGAAAGTGCCGCAGTTCAGTCCAGTATTATTTCCATATCGTCGCTATTATAAATGCGTAGTCCGATGTAGGAACAATAACTTTCTGGATTAATGAAGTCAATGTCGCATCTGTTAAGCGCAGCAGTAATGCTAAAATCCATTCCACTGCTTGTCAAGTGCATGACACCCTTATATGTAAAAATGATCTGTTCTGCTATCTTCGTGATAGTCGAGCTCAAAATGTAAATCACATGTTTTGCAGTATACACTTCATATTATTATAATATTTGTGCTGCCATATTTCCTTGCTGAATGAATGTAGCAGTTTGAAGTGGTTGGAATAAATTATTGTAAGAAACAAATACTAGTGGTCACTTACATAGATTTCCAAAACATTATCATTAAATTGCGCCAACTTATATAAAGCTAGTGCTAATGTTCACGCCTAAAAACCATTCTGTTCTTCAAATCACAAAATGTGCAACAATGGTGCTAACTCTCAAAAAAATCTTACCAAAGCAGTTTTGGTTGCATAGGTATCTATGCCATCACAAAAGTGGCTGCCATGATGACGGAAATAAAACCTGTGTATTCCCTCTTCCCTCTTCGTTATATCGCTAGAAAATGACATACATTAAACGACATGAATGACAGAAAAATTGAGGACATGTTTCATTTGACCATAAGGCTTGATTCCTGATATTAGCTATTAAGTGGCACTGCAATAATTTATAAGCTGTATATTATGTGCGAAATTCTTATATCTGAATAAATTGTACCACTGATCATTTGAAAGGTAGAAAAAGTAGCTAAAAACAGATTGTTGTTCATCTCTCTGACTCAACGGCTGAACATAAAATTCTAAGCAGTCAAAAAAAACTCACTGACGTCAGAAGCACTAAAATTCGCATGGATAAGATTTCTGCGAAACTCCAATGGTCTTTCCTGGAAATCTGCATAAGAGTCCATTTTCATTCCAAATAGACATTAGATCTGTCAGTTACCAGACATGTTTTTAGTTGGTTAATCCCTTAACAAGAAAATGATGACGCAAATTCGAAAGTTAAAAAAGAAACGAATGGATAGCGTTGGTAAGATCCGTAGCTTAGAGCTTATTTCATATTTTATAAGCTTGCTTGACGTTAGCTGTCTCACAACAGAAAGTCTGTAGGTGATTATTGATATTCCTTTTATTCAAAATTTCGAAATTCAAAATTCAAAATTTCTTTTATTCAAACTGTCTTGTATGAATAGCTGTAATGGTGAACCAGTGATATTTGGCTTAATCCGTAATTATCACATTCATCCTTTTTATTTCATTTTCTCATGTGAAATCAAATCGAGTTTAAAAATTAGGATGGTATTGCCTACTTGTTGAAGCGTACAAAACTTGTAATATTGCATTGCTAATTTTGCTCTTAGCAATTATTCTTGGAAGTTCGTTGAAATTTCGGAAGTTATTTAAGGTTTCTTAAAAATCTTTCTAAACTATTAATGTTGACTGGTCCATAATCATAATTGGTAGGCGCATATTTTCTCTATTTAAGAAAGGTATTTGATCTGCGCGCTTTCAAGCCATATTACAGTCATAATTGCTGTGTATTTTAAAAGAATATGCTACAGATACATTACAGAATTCATTGGCAAGATTTTGACGCATCAATTTTAAAAGCTCGTAAGCTTCTCATAAAACTATTATAACTATTGGTCATTGCAGCAAATGTGAATTAGGGGTCATTGTGTTTAAGAAAGACTATCTCATCTACCATATGATGAAATGGATTATGGATTATACATGATATTATTATATCATGGATTATAACTAAGTCTAAATCTTGAAAAGAAATAACTAATATTATACAACTATTACTGATACTGTTCACATTAAACTTATCTTTGAAACTGAGGTTTATATCTGTTCAGTGGATACCTACCTTTTATTAGCAATCTTGGGTTTCCTTGTGCTGTTAGTCTGAAATTCATAAGTTTCAACACAGATAGTTGTTTCTAGCTAGCGAATATGAGAAAACACGAAAGGCGATCTTGGGTAAAAATCTATATGATAAAATGGCGAATAATTAAGGTACTTAATTAAAATTGGAATAATTTATTTCGCTGAAAAGTAAATTGACTTCACACTCTTAATCCAATAAATGAATGGTAACCGCAATGCCTCACTTTATCATAACCTTATAAGTTTCAAATCCTTCTTGAATAAAAGAATACGGTTCAGGAAATTGCCAGGAAAACTTCAGCCTGTGGTATACTTCCGATAACTGATTTTTTAATTATTTCTTACATTTGACCAATCAATGCAACATGAAGTAAACTGCATGGCTACTTAAAAATAAATTAACATTGATGAAAACATCCTCATATTTGAGAAATCGCCCTTAAAAACTTCCGAAAAATGACGTTTTTTTTAAAGTTAAAACTTGTGGTAGCAAAAAGACAATGAATGTTAAATATGACATACAATGAAATTGCTTTTACAATCGTGGAAGTTGTTAATTAAATTCATATCTAATGCACACTTACTGAAAATGAAACAATAGTCTTTGGTCTACACGCTCTCAAACCATATTACAATTATAAGCATGATCTGTTGAATTCTTAGCCCAATGCAGAAAACACTGTGATTAAAAATGGAAAAGTTGCATATGAACTTTCACGAAACTTTTTTTTTTACTCTTACTGCAAATAGAAACTTTGAATATAAATGGAAATAATTTTATAAATTATTCCGCCTAAGATCACATAAATACTGCATTTTTCTCTTAATTTGAATGTCAATTGATTATGGGTATTAAAAAAACGAATGAATATGTTGTGTGTCAACTGACAATTCTCTGCTAAAGTTAGCGAAATCGACTATCTTTTGATAAGTAATGATAATTTAGAAGATGTTAATTCCTTGTCTATGAGGTGTAATGGATTACTGTTAGCAAAAATAATCAAATATATGTTGTCTTTGGTTGAGTGTGTCAAGTGATCTGCATAAGGTTCGATAAATTTTTTTTTAAATGAATATTTTAGTGCACATTTTCCTTCATTATTTAAGGAAATTTTTGGGCCCTATAATTCAAAAACTTGAACCCATCACAAATTTCGCATTATGCGGAAAGAGAAATTGTCACATATCAAAACGGTTAGTGATGGAAATATAAAATTTACAACAATATTTTTACAGCTATTCATGAAAGAAAGTGCCTCGGAAATCTTTAAGTGTAAACTTCATAAAGTGAAATAGAAATTTTTCTGCAAGTCCAAGCAAATATTTAAATATCGACATCGGAACAACTGAGTATGCGAAGTTAAGAAGTTTGAGACCTTTCCAGAATGCTGAGAACTTTGATTTCACAGTGAGGTTTACATTTGATCCATTGTTCTACATAATGAATACTTGCAACTGCCATAGAAAAATAGAGCTGATGTTGAGATCATAATTAAATTCATTGCTGCAATTGTACCGAGGCCAAGTGATGACATGCAGAGCATATCCTGGAAATTATTCCCTTCAAAACTGAGAAACACATTTCTCCTGGCCGTTTGGGGATCCATTTGCATAGAAAATCAAAGTTGACTATAAAAGAGACCTGGTAGACATTGACATTTCCATTAAACCAGCGAACTTTTTCATTTTGGTCTTGTCGAAGGTTAAACTTCATTTCCAATTCATATTCTTCTGTAATACTGATTCGTTACTTGTTGACAGAAGATAACTTGTACAAAAATTGCGTAGATAAAATCATAGCACAGAAATGTCAATCTGTTGAAAAACGAAATTCATCAATAATTTGCATGTTTTATATCTTATTTTGCAAAGGCTGAAAACTATCAGACTGTCTGTGATAAAGTTGCCTATGAAAAACCAATTGATCAAGCTCATTAGCTAATTAACTTAAGTCCATTAATGCACAAACTAATGTATGAATTTCACACCAGAAACTTTATTGCTTAAATAATGATGAAGCAATAAAAAGATTTTTTAAACATGAATTTTTAGATAGATTAAATGCAAGAGGTTCAGATAGTTAAGTGAAATGGTAAACAATACTTTTACTAAATGTTATTATTCCATTGCTCTCCACTGACGTTTGTTCCTTTGCTTGAGAAATATTTTCAAAGGATGACAAAGTCTGACTTCCTTTCATTAGTGGTTCTGGCTGCAATGAAGTCTGACGCTTTCGCCTTGATGGCTCTGGACAAGTTGGAATCTAGAAACGAGACATCCTCCAATTTTCTTATCACCCATCAGAATAGCCTTATCTTAACTCTCTTCAATTTCTTGTAGTTTGAGATTTCAATTCAATTAAAGTTAAGTGAAAAAAATTATTAAATTCCAGATATTTTTCCTTGTAATCGGCAAAAGATAAAGTAATTGGAAATGTTCACACCATATTCTTGACATTTCTCTGTCAACGAGATCTGATTTAAGAAACTGCTGAAAACATTAGTTTGAATGTTTGCTCCAACAATTAATATTTTTAAGGCATCTTCATGTAACATTATTCAAAGACAGATATTTGTTTACTGAACGAAATTCAAAAACTCATTAAAAAAACTGGTAGATACGGAGCAGTATTCCTGATTCGGTTCTTTTACTGTCACTGATATTTGGCAATCGAAGAATAAACTTTGTCGATCGGCATATTTATAAACATGCGCTTCTTTACCCGCCATTAAATCTGACACGTATTCCAGATTTTGCAGTAGATATTTGTCTTTCGCACATCTGCATTAGGAAAACAAGCTATAATACTTCATTTCCGAAACAGTCACCATTCTAAATATTAGAAAATCTAAAATCTAATTATTCAGTTTTTCGTCATTTTGAACTTCATTCTTCACAATTTTATGAGGAGAGAGGAACTGTCCATTAAAACCATTGCATTTCAAGAATCAACGTTACCCTTGCTCATCAATCAGCTGAACTCGATCACCGTTACCGTCATCCACAAAGCAACTGTGCACCATCATACAGAACTGATTTTCGGTGTTCGTTTCACATGTCCATTTGTGATAAACCTAAATTAAAGTCACTTATGTTTCTAGATTAGCAAAATCATCGGAGGTGACAAGTCGCAAAGCCTCCTGACCCTTTCCGAATCGCATAAGCAAAGTAGCAGACTGAAAGTAATTTATTGCAGCAACAAAAACAGATATGATTTTGCCTCGTTTTTGGAGTATGAAACAAACAACTAATATTGCGAAAAATGGTTTGCTGAAGCTCACCATCTGTCCAATGACAGCATAAAATACTGGTGGTCCAGCTGGCGATCCATCAAGAATCTCGTATTTACACATTGGCATCGCTACTTGCTCGGTTTGAAGTGGAGGAGGATTCATCCTGAAATTTAAAAATTATTAGAAGAGTGTGAAAGTGTTAAATTAGTTGTTGCAACAGAAAAACAACGGGTAAATACGAGCTCAAATTCTTAACGAAAATAAGCTATACCTAACATTTGTGTTTTCATTTTCTGCTTCCTTTTTCCGCAAAAAAAGTGCAAATTTATTACAGCAAACAATCAAATCTAGCCTAATTTGCATATCATAAAGAAATGATTAATAACAAGAGCCCGAGCTTGTGTTTTTTGCTGTAAAGAATTACTATTTTTTGGAATGGTTTGAAATAACCAAGAACTGTTAAAGTAAAAAATTCGTAGATAGATGGTGTTAGTTTTGATTTTCAGTATTAACGACATCTGATCAACGTACTTTACTTGTATTTGTTTCTCGAAAATTTTTTCCATTTCCATATATAAACACTGCACCACATAAACACGGTCAATTTTGGTGAGAAAATCAGGTTGAAATGCCAGAAATAGTGATGTTGTAATATATAAACCACGTGGGTTACTCTGAGAAAGAAAAATTTGAAGTTTCTAATACGGAAAAGAAGTAAAATACTAGTCAAAAACTAGATAATCAACTTTACGAAAAGAATGCTATTTCAAAATAATTTTTACCTGCTTCAGCAATTTAAGTGCTTTATCAAGCTGTGTAGATATATCAATAACAGAATTGAAAAATTTTCGTATTATTATAATAAAAGTAATTGTTTTGTTAATGCAATACATAAATTGCCTCTTTGAATTGTTTGGTAAATTGCAGATCCTACCGATCTCCTTCTCTCAACATCACAACTTTTGAATCCAAGTCTAATGGATGCATTTCGTCCTTTACCATTCACGTTTTCAGCAGAAGTTGAGCGACATGACGGATCCGCTAAGTGATCTTCCACAAATATCAGTCCTTTGAAAGTACTCCGTGTTTCAAATTGCACCTTAATACTGTAGTCATGAATGAAAAGTAGAAGATTCCTTTTTTGACAGAATAGAATTCATATTTTTTTCCATATCGGAATTCGAATTCGAAATTTAGAATGAACTTTTTAGCATAGTTTGCTATATAAACATATAATGAAAGGTTTTGGCACTGTGATTAAAAGTACTGTCCCACCGAACAATTTATTTTTAAAACAAGTTCCCAACTGAAAATTTCTTTTCAAACATGGCTGCGTCTACTTTTTTCATTTTTCTTGGATGAAGTCACGTTTTTGAAGCGAAAACAATATGATATAATTCAAAACGGAGAAATCCTGAAAATATGAAAAGGGAAGCACAATGACATTTATTTCACTAGTTTAAAATGAAGTATAGACCAGTTCTTTCTGCTCCTCGAACTAACAAACTTCTGCACTGAAAATCCAATTAAATTTAATAACTAATATCGACCTACTTCGATATAATTATCGCCACAGTAAACATTTGGTTCACCGAGAATACCGTTGTCCGAGATGCTGGTTTTGATGTTGTTCTGCAAAATTTATGTATTTCATTGCCTTTCTTTCATGTATTTAAGCTCCATAGAGTGGTGGAAAGTAGAATATTTGGCTTGGAAATCGACATGGAGCATTTTGCATTTCCAATTCTGTTGGCGATAAAGGTTGTTGGATTAGGAGAACTTCATTCTGAGAAGACTGAGCAAAACTGATGCATTCATCTTTTCCAGCTTTTGTGATATCTCATTCTTGTATGAAAGGTCGTCGTTTAGTTCATTTGGAAAGGTGTCCACTGATTATTTTAGTTAGTTTAGTTCCAAATGATGGAGCAAAAAAATAATTAAAGTGTGACTGAAATGTTCATTTATGAAGGTAGCTCATTTATACAAATTTTTGTGAAAACGACTCGCAAATTTTGAAAAGTTTCCGAAACATAAAAAAAACAAAATTGATTATGCAAATTTTGTTATTGTTAGGATGTGGCAAAATTACAATTTATATTATTAAATCAAAAAGTGATATTTCCATCGTTTGTTTTTTAAATAATGTAAATGAATTAAACAAACTGAAGATATCCATCCAAGAACAATTATCAACATTTATTTCAGTGATTCCTCATTGGGATTTTCTTATTGACATAATATGTATTCTGGATAATTAGAATCATATATTGTAAGTAATGGCTCGAACTGCTGTGATACGTGCTAGTTTGTTTGTAGATGCATCAAGTCAGTTCGCCCATATTTCTCTCATTCATTTGTCTTTATTGTCATTGTAGGGGACAATTAGGTCATCACGCTGGACAAACAAACGTTAAATGAGAATGTTATAGTGATTCCGTTTTCCAGAGTTTCTAAACCAGAGTGAAAAGTTGGTGTTATTCTTTCATTGTAAACACTAAACATCAAATTAATTATGTCGCCATTTCAAGTACTTTTTCTTTATCACACTTCTTTCCAACATTAATTTCGAAACATAAGAAAACTGTAAGGATTTTCCAATTAATTAACCATTATATCTCAACTGGCAAAAGTTTTTCCAGTATTACGAATAATGGAGTATAACACTTGCCATTAATGCTGTGAAGATTGTTAAAGTGAATGATACACGCATCGACAAATGCTCTTCTTCCTCTGAAAAATAATTGAAACTGGCCTTAAAAAAATCCAATCCTTCTTAAAAACTTCGGATCATAGTTAAGCGATGATTAAGTGTTTTATATATAAATACATTTGAGTAAAGTGCAAACATTATGTTTTCCAGTAAATAATCAGTGTATGAAAAAAGACTACTATCTCCCAACTGGTAAATGCTTTTAGAAGCATAGGGAAAGTTGAATTGTTGGAACAGAAAGCTTCACAAATTCTTCGAAACAAATGAAATTTAATGAAATGACTTCTATAAAATGCTCGAAATCCCATCGAAGAATGTTTTCAGAAGCATATGGAAGGTTAAATTTATTGGTGTCTACATGGATACTTTAGAAATTATTAAAAGTTGTACTTTTTATGGAAATCTTATGGGTGATCCAAAACTTTCATTTCTTATTGAATTTTTTTCTACCTAACCCTGGTATTTTCACCTGTTTTGAGTCCAGATTTTACCAAATTGTAATAGCCATAAGCATTCCCAATACTTCTTTAGTACTGGCTTAGGCTTACAAAATTTGATGCTTCCATTTTATTATAGACAATTCATATCTTGTACCCTTGGGTACTATCTTAAATTTGCTTGGCATGTTTAATAAGCAGCTCGAAGAATAACTAACAGCACTGTATAATACTGAATTATGATCTCCAGAAAACATTTCAAATACAACCTACCAATCCTTCCTTCAAATTCCTCCTTTAATCAGACAGTTATTAATATCTACATACGTGGAAAGTTTTAAATCACGTGACATCTGAAAGAAATTCCAAAAAATTAAAAAATAAAAAACAGAAAAAAACGAGTGCATGCGTTGTACTATCACATGCTCTTTTCAGCTGCTGCATAGTTTTATCCGCGCCACTCATTTTTCCATTCCATGTTTTAAAATATCTTCGAAAGTACAAATTTCATCCAAATAAGTTCAGAAAGTGGGATTAGAAACTGCAAATATTTAACTGTTCTTAATTATGGTCAAATAACTAACTATTCATTCCCATCTCCCTGTTTATGCTAAAAAAAATCCAAAAAAATTGGAAGCTTCGGATTACGCAGTCCTTGCCTCAGGAACAATTATACAACGGTATCTTGATTCATGGTTTAATTTCTGTGACTGTTGAAAAACGAAAAGGTTTAATTTCTGTGGTTGTTGAACTTTCTAAAAACATGTCCTGCTTCTCAGTTGCTCATCATGACCATCTTTGACGATCTTTAATCTATATGATACAGAAAGCAAAAATTTTTGCTTCTACATGATACAAAAAGCAAAAATTTTTGCATGCATAATAGTCCTAAGAAGATGAGAAGAGGAAAGAGAAAAGATACGAGTATCCAGATAATATAAACGTAAGTTTCTGGATCTCAACTGCACCGTTTTTCTTTATGAAGGTTCATGAAGTTCAAAAATTTTTTATGAAGTTCGTTCTTCTATGACTTCTCTTTAATAAGTATTGAGTTCCACCTACTTTTATGAAATTAGCTATTAAAAATAAGAATGGTATTTAAGCAACGCAATTTATTGAATTTTCATACATATGGAAATGAAACTGATTGTCGCTTACTATTGTCAAGCGCTTTCAAACAATCGAAGAAACCTAGTTACATTAAGAAATTGTATAATTTCCATTATTTCCATTTGCCAAACATCCGTTGGTCAAAAGTCTAGTAATTATGCATTCTATTAGTTTCGCCTTAAATGCTTTAACCTTGTCGTCGTAATATACAAAAAAGAATTATAGAAATGGAAAGAAAATGCAAAATGATATAGAACTGATAATAAATTGTAATAGGAGGAAAAGAAGGGACGAAGATACAAAATATTCTACATGGTTATTTTCTGATGAAATTTTTGATCCATATCTGAATAAAAGGAAGTTTTTGGAAAAGGAAGCAGGAAGTAAAAACAAGATGAAAATAACATTTAGGATGGCGCACCTTTTGTGATTTCAATGAAGGATTGAGAGCAAATCGAAAAGGATAAAAAGACGAGAGAGCCTGTATGCGTGGTGTATCTCTACCACTCAATTCGGCACTGTCACTGGAAAATTGGCATTGATATATGTTGGTGATTAGAATCCCAAAAACGGATATTGGAGTAAATTTGTGCAATTCCCGTTCGAATGGATGCATTTATCTCTTCGCTACCAACCCGACATTCTGCTCTCTTCATTCCCTCTCACCATTACAATTTTGCTGGATTCGATATTCTAATGCTTTCATTCCGTGAATTTGTTACTCATTTGCCGTTCTCACCGGTGCGGTCAAACAAGACGAAAATTTTCATGTGCCCAAAATCATCACACTAATCAGTAATTTTGTTTTAATTGGTACTCTTGATGAATAGCTCGCTAAAACCTCTATTTACTTAGGACAGGATTTAATTTCGGTTCACATTCCCAAATAAACAAAGAAAAAAAAAAGTGGAATAGGCATAAGAACTTGTCATGTCACATGTCAGCCAATCACTCATCAGTAAGGGGGAACGTTATAAAAATACATGCGACACTTGCAAGATTGGCAGGATGAAATGAGGAGTTTAAGGGATTAGTAGAGACGTCAAAATCGCTGATTAAGGTATTAACGTGAAGAAGTGACGGAATAAGTTGTGCTGATTGTCAAGATGTATTGTTCTGTTACAATTGGGGAATTTCTGAAACGGATATATCTTTGTGTTACGATATTAAATAAAAGAAAAATACAGGAAGACCAAAAAGAAGATGAGAGCTGATGCGATTCTCGATATGTAATGCATGAAACAATTAATGGAGAAGTTAAGAAATAATAGTTTTGCTATCGATTAGTAAGTGAGAAAATACTAAAACAAGACAGAGACAAATTTCCGGATTATAAGAACGGTCTGTCTGATCGGTGCCGTACTGCAAATAGGGAATTTGTTATCATTTCAGCTTGTTTTTCATCCTTAAACATGATTATTCAGAGGCCTAAGCAGAACGGAAGGGAAAAAGCGCATTTTTCAACTTAAGCAAATAAATCGCTGAACAATTTTGCATCAATCAATTGCAGAGGAAAAACAAATTGGAATCAAAAAGCGCTGTTGACTCACTCCCAGAAACGGCGTTATATTCATAAACAGAAAAGCCCTAATCCGATAACACATACATGTTTAAAGCGCAGGGGACGACCAAAAATTGAAAGAATTATGGAAATTCCATTAGTGAGAAGAGGATATCACCAATTTGTGCGCAAATTTGAGCAATTTAAGCGTTGAAAAAAACAAAAAAAGAGACACATGACAAATTAAAAACTAAGCTTAGTTTTTTTGAAAATAAAGAATTTTTTCTTTTTCTAAAGAATATGCATCTCAGCGAATAATCGAATAAAACCGATGCCAAATGATGTCCA